AGCCCTGTGAAAAAACGCCACTCCCTCGTTTTTTTTAAAATTTGAAAAGTTGAATAGGAATAAATTGGTTCTAGAAAGAGTAATAAAGTCAGAGGAATAAAGATTTGGACAATTAGGGTTTAGCACAATAGAGGACAATAAAAATAAAGAGTTATGGATGGTCCGGGTGCCTCTTTGTGGGTGAAATAAACCCAAAAAAGGACACACAGAAAGGGGATTTGGGGGGGTTGGGAGATTTGGGGCGAAATTTGTGGGATTTGGGGGGTTGGGGGTGATTTGGGGGCAGATTTTGGGGGTTTGAGGTGAGATTTGGGGGGATTTTGGGTGGAAATGGGGCAGGAAAAGGTGGGTTTTGGGGTGGCAAAGGGGGATTTTGGGTGGCAGAGGTTAACAGAGGATTAACCCTTCACAGCAGCAGCCTGTTCCATATTCACGCACCTCACACCTGGTGCATAAATTCCAGTCAAACACAGGATTCTGCTCAGGGTCAAATTCTTCCTCTGAATCCTGAATTTTCAGGGCTGAGCAGGCAGGAAGAAGTTGATTTCTTTTGATAAAGGAGCAATAAATTATTTTTCTCTGAAAGATTTCGGTGTCCTGTGGCCAGGCCACCCCCTGAGGGGACAGCCCTGGTGGCACTTGGGGCGGTGGCGTTGGGTGAGCAAAGAGAATTTCCCTGATTTGTGGTGTCGTGGTGGTTTGGGGGGACTGGGGCCACCTCTGCTGGCCCTGTGTCCCCTCTCCTGTGTCACCTCTGCCGGCCCTGTGTCCCCTCCAGGTCACGGGGACCGAGGTCCAATTGATGGCGCTGGTGGCGCTGGGCAGTGCCGGTTCTGGCCACTGGGGGGCGCTGAGTGCCTTGGCCCCGCCCCCTGTGTGACGTCATCGCAGTGATGGGCGTTACTCCAAATCCATTCCCAACCCCAACCCCCCATTCCCAATCCCAAATCCTGAATTCCCAACCCCAAAGCCCCAATCCCAAACTCCCATATCCATATCTGGGTAATGTAGTCTCCGTTAATGGCGCGGGAAACTCGGGAGGCTCCAGGACTACACTTCCCAGAAGGCTTTGCGGCGGGGCATAGAGAGGGCGGAGACAGCGCCGCCTGCTGGCTCGGAGGAGTCGGAGCGGGGCGGGGGACACGGGGGCGCTCCGGGGGGACACCGAGAGGGGACAGGGGACAGCGGGGACACCGAGAGGGGACAGGGCACGGCGGGGACACGCACAGAGCGCCAGCACCGCCGTGGGCGGGGCAGCGCGGGAAATACGGCTCAGGACGCAGCCGAGGGAAACTGAGGCACGGCGTGGGCACCTCCCGCGACCCCCCCACGCCGGGGTTCACGGCCCGGTCCGGCCCTGCAGCTGCGGGACCCGGGGCCACGGTGAGGCCGCCCCGGTGTGGCAGGGCCCGGGACAGCGGGGGCGCTCCCCGGCGTGTCCCCGGCGTGTCCCCGGTGTGTCCCGGCAGGTGGCGGCCGCCGCCCGCGCGCAGCTCCGAGCTCCCCGCGTGTCCCCGTTTCCCCCGGCTCCGAGCGCACCGACCCCTCCCGCCCCCGCCGGCACGTCCCGGTGCGCGGACCGGCCGCCCCCGCGGCCCGGTGCGTGAATTGCCGCCCCCCGGTGCAGCCCCCGCTCCACCGGCAGAGCCCCGGTGCAGCCCCCGGTGCACGGACCGTTCCGCCGCCCACGAACCGACCCCCGCTGCCGCCCCCGGTGCACGGACCGACCGCACAGGGCAGCCCCCGGTGCACGGACCGACCCCTCGGTCAACGAGCGGCCCCCGGTGCAGCCCCCGACCCCCGGTGTAGCTCCGGTCCCACGGAGCGACCCCCGCCGTGCAGAGCGCTGTGCACGAACCGGCTCCTGGAAAAGCCCCCGGTGTCAGGGGCCGACCCGGGCACCGACCGAGCCCCGGAGCGACCCCCGGTGCAAGAGCAGACCCTCGAGCAGTCCCCGGTCCCGGGGACCGACCCCCCTGTGCAGCCCCCTGTCCCACCGACCGAGCCCCGCTGCAAACCCCGGTGCACGGAGCGACCCCCGGAGCGACCCCCGGTGCAAGAACCGACCCCCGGAGAGACCCCCGGTGCACCGACCGACCCTCCTTGTGTACGGAGTGACCCCCGGTGCAGCCCCCGGTCCCACCGATCACCCCCCGGTGCACCGACCGACCCCAGGAGCAACCCCCCCTGTGCAGGGAGCGACCCCCGGTGCAGCCTCCCGGTGCACGGAGCGACCCCCGGTGCAAGAAGCGACCCCCGGAGCGGGTCTCGGTCCCGCGGGCCGCCCCCGGTGCCCCCCGGTGCCCCCGGTCCCGCCGGTCCCACGCCCGTCCCGGGGGGGGCGCAGTTTCAGGGCGGGGGTTTCCCCCGCGCTCCCCCCCCGCGTTTCACCCCCACGTGGGCCCCGCCGGCGGCGCCCAATCAGCGCTGCGCTCGCGGGCGGCTCCTCTCGGCGCCAGCCAATGGGCGAGGCGGGGGCGCCGCGCGAGGCCCCGCCCCGCGGAGGGAGGCTATAAAAGGCGGCGCGGGGCGCGGCCGGGGCTCAGAGCGATCGCGCTGGAGCGGCGGCGGGAGCGGAGCGGGACCGGGAGTCGCGATAGCGCCGCGATAGCCGCGCTTGGGATTATTGCTCGTGGAGTTTGCCTCCTTCTCCTGCGGATTACAATTGCACCATGACCCTGGAGGAGCTGGTGCCTTGCGACAGCAGCAAGTAAGTGGCGGGCGGCTCAGGGCGCTGGCGGCGGTTCCGCACTTGCCGCCGCCGCCGCCGCTCACCGGCTCTGCCGTTCCTCCCGACAGGATGCAGGCGGTGAGCGAGGCGGTGGAGCGGGTGCTGGTGGCGGCGCAGCGGCAGGACCGCCTCACCGTGGGGGTCTACGAGTCGGCCAAGCTGATGAATGTGTGAGTATCGCGACAGGGAAGTGTCGCGGCGCTGTCACCGGGGAGGGCTGTCGCCGGGGAGGGCTGGCTGGCCTGGCGCGGTTCAGCCCGGCTCTCTTAGCGCGGGGCTGGAGCGTTTTACGGGGTGGCGACCCGGCAGAATTTGGGGGGTCTGTCCCCCATTGTTAAAGCAGGGAGGTGACACAGGGGGGTGACAGCATCCCGAGCTGTCGCGGTCGCCCCTGACCCTGCTCGCCCCCGCAGGGACCCCGACAGCGTGGTGCTGTGCGTGCTGGCCACCGACGAGGAGGACGAAGGTGACATCGCGCTGCAGATCCACTTCACGCTGATCCAGGCGTTCTGCTGCGACAACGACATCCACATCCTGCGCGTGTCGGGCATGCAGCGCCTCGCTGCCATCCTGGGCGAGCCCGAGCCGGGCTCGGAGCCCCGCGACCTGCACTGCCTGCTGGTCACGGTGAGCACGGGGGGAACGCGCTGCCGGCCCCGTGATGCCGCCGGCGCCGCGCCAGGGGCCGGGCGGGGTGACGGGGCGGCGCGGGGACACGTGTCGGGGCGCTGGTGGCACTAACCTGGCGCTCCTGCTCCCCCAGAACCCGCACACGGACGCGTGGAAGAGTCAGGGCTTGGCGGAGGTGGCGAGTTACTGCGCCGAGAGCCGCGACAGGAACCAGTGGGTGCCGTTCGTGTGTCTGCAGGAGCGCTGAGCTCCTGCGGCCCCTTCCCGGCTGGACTCGGAGGATTGAAAACCTTAAAAAAAAAACCAAAACCCAACACAAAACAGCAGGGAAAAAAAAAAAAAAAGAAGGAGGAACAGCCAGTTCCAACCCACAACGCCCAAAACCCACCGATTTTATTTTTCTTTTGAACCGGAGAGGAGGAGGAGGAAGGGGGAGCGCGGCTGCTGCGGTGGGAATGGAGGGGGACGCTGGCCGGAGCCCGGCGGGAGCGCTGGATGGACGCTGGCCGGAGCCCGGCTGGACACTGGACGCTGGCCGGAGCCCGGGTGGACGCTGGACGCTGGCCGGAGCCGCCGGCCGAGGAGCTGTGCTGGAGCGTGGACCGGAGCGCGGGGAGTGACCCCGGAGCTGGAAACTGTCGCGATTTTTGGCAGCTGGGACCCGATGGAGGCGAGGACTGCAGAGGGGTGGATTTTTAATTTTTTTTTTTGGTGCAAAAACTGCTTTTTCCAAGGAATTATGGACGTCTGCACAGATGAACTTGCACCCCCCGGGTGCTGCTTTTGCACTTGGAGCCCCTGAGCTGAACCTTTTCCAGAGTTTATTCTTCTACCGAGCGAGGAACTAAATTTATTTGCAATAAAATGTCTGACGTTCCTGGTGTTTGCTCTTCCCTGTGCTCTGCTGGAGCCGTTCCCGAGGGAGCGGGAGTGGAATCGGCGCTTCCTGGGTGGGTTTTTGGGGTGGGCTCCACCTCCCCTGGGGGGGCCTTTTATGGGGCCGGGGGTTCCCAGCCGTGTGTGGCCTCGCTGCTGCGGCTGGAGGAGAAATTCCCACCCCACCCTTCTCTGAAAAAAAGGGTTTTTCCAAGAAAAACACCCACGAGGTGCCCTGAGCGCCGTGGGAAACTGAGGCACGGGCCCGGGGCTGGAGCTTCCCCACCCGCGCAGGAACCGCGGCCGTGGGCTGGGGGAGCCCCGGGACAGGGGGGGAATTCCCTCCGTCCTCCGGGGGTGGGGACAGGGACAGCCCCGGGGGCCCGGGGAAAGTGAGGCCGGGGGGGTCAGGGGTGGGGTCCCCCCTTTGTGGGCACCGGGGGCTCCCCGGGATCCTTCCCGGGGGCGGAACCCGCGGGAGGGGCTCGGGGAGCGGCTCCGGTGCATCCCGAGCTCACCGGCGCTGGCCCCGTCCGTGTCGCACGGGGTGACCCCGGCAGGGAGCCAGCCCCTCCTGCCCGGCTGGGACACGGCGTGCGGCCGGGCAGGGACACGGCGAGCCCCGCCTGGGGACACGGTGGCCAGCCCGGAGTGTCGCGTGCCTTGGGGCCGTGCCCTGTGCCCTCCTTCGGGGTTTGATTGCGGGGGAAACTGAGGCACGGCCGCGTGTGACAGTCCCGGCGGTCCGGGGACAAGGTGGGGACAACACCCTCGGGGTGGCCCAAACTGCGACCCCCCCGGTCCCCCGGCTGTGGGGTCTCAGCTGCTCCCTGGGACCCCCGGGAAGGGAAAGGGCCGCGGCGGCCGAACTCGTTTCACCGCTGCGGCAGCGCGGTCACGAGGCCATTCCTGTCGCCGCTGTCACCGCGGCCGTGCCGCTCGTGTGACCGGTGTGTCAGCCGCGGCCGTGTCACGGGGTGGGAGGGGTCACAGCCCCCCCGGACCCCCCAAAATCCCCCCCTGCCCCCCGCAGGGAGCGCAGCCCCCCCGAGCTCACCCGGCCGGGGCCATCCCCGCACCGACAGCGCGGGATAATTAAACCAGGAGGTAATTAATAATTAATGAGGAGATCGCAGCCACGCCGGGGGTGCAGGAGGGGTGTTGCCCACCCCTCAAAAGCTGACACGGAGGGCGCAGATGCCACCCCGGATGTCCCCGCGGGGGTGACAGCGCAGCCACCGTGTCACCGCGAGGGGGGTGGGGGGTGCCGGGGTTTGCCGGCTCTGGGGCGGCCGCGGGCAGACAGGGCAGGGCCGGAGCCGCGCCGGAGCCGCTGATTTATGAGTCTGGCCCGGGCGGCTCCGGCGGCTCCTGGCCCCGGGCTCCGTCTCCACCCTGCGAGCGACATCGGGGACAAAAAACAGGGGGGGCACCGCCCACCCCAACCCCCCCCGCCCCCCATCCCGACATCCCCAGGCTCTGGAAATTGGGGGAAACTGAGGCACGGAGCTGTCCCCCCCTCCCCCGCCGGTGACGTCACCGTGGCGGCCCCATTGCGTCACGGGTGTCCCCGTGCCACCCGCGTGGGGACATCTGGGATCCTCCACGGAGTCCCCGCGGTCGGGGGGTGACCCCGAGGGGGGCCCCGCTGCTGTCCCCGCCCCGGTGGCACCGGGGGGACCCGCGGCTGTCCCTGGGCCACCCGGCGGCCGCGGCTCCGAGGGCAGGGAGTTAATTAGGGCAGCGGGGAGTTAATTAGAGCGGCAGGCAGGCTATAAATAGCCCGGCGGAGGAGGGAGGGCTATTTTTAGCCGCTCCCAGCCCGGTGCCACCCGGTGTCGCCTGGCGCTGGCACCGCCGCCCGCTGGCAGCGAATTCCCGGCGGAGCCGCTCCCGGTGTCCCGCAGGGAACGGGGCGAGTTCGGGGTTCTGCGGGGACACGGAGCTGCTGCCACCCCTGTCCCTGTCCCCCTGCCCAGCAGACACGGACAAACAATCCCAGGGCGCGGCCGCGGCGCCTTCCGAGGGCTCCTCCCGGCCGGGTCCCGCTGCTGCTCCAGGGGGAGCCGGGCCGGGATCGCTCCTCCCGGGAAAAGGAGGGAATGCCGCGCTGCCTTTGGCTTTCCCCGCGGGATGAACGGCCCCGGAGATCCCCGGGAATACGGAGATTGCCAGGAGCCAGCGGGGATGGGGAGAACAGGGCTGGGAAAAGGGAATTCCTGAGAGCCGGGGGATTCCCAGGGGGGGATTTCTGAGGAATTGAGATCCTTGAGGGGCTGCAATTCCTGGGAATTGGCATTCCTGATCCCATTTGAGCATCCAGGGGGTGGGAAAGGGGAATCCAAGGGGGGATTTCTGAGGAACTGAGATCCTTCAGGGGCTGCAATTCCCAGGAATCAGCATTCCTGATCCCAAGGGGGTGGGAAAAGGGAATTCCTGAGAGCCGGGGGATTCCCGGGGGGGATTTCTGAGGAACTGAGATCGTTTAGGGGCTGCAATTCCTGGGAATTGGCATTCCCGATCCCAAGGGAGATCCAGGGGGTGGGAAAAGGGAGTTCTTGAGAGCCGGGGGATTCCCAAGGAGGAGCTGAGATCCTTTAGGGGCTGCAATTCGTGGGAATCATCATTCCCAAACCCACCTGAGCATCCAGGGAGTGGGAAAGGGGAATCCAAGGGTGGATTTCTGAGGAGCTCAGATCCTTGAGGGGCTGCAATTCCCGGGAATCAGCATTCCCAATCCCGACGGGACCTCCAGGGGGTGAGAAAAGCTCTCAGGGAATTCCTGAGAGCTGGGGAATCCCCAGGGGTGGATTTCTGAAGAGTTGAGATCCTTGAGGGGCTGCAATTCCCAGGAATCAGCATTCCAAATCCCATTTGAGCATCCAGGGGGTGGGAAAGGGGAATCCAAGGGTGGAAAAGGGCACGGGGCATTCCCGGAATTCCCGATGCTCAGCACAGCAGGCAGAGGAAATTGGCAAAATGCAAAGTGAGCCTTTTTTATTGTGTTATCCATTCACTTGGGAACAACGATTCCACGAAATATTAAACACGGTGCGAGGAGGGGGCGGGGCCATGGCACACGAGAAAGGGAAAAATCAACAAAACAATCCCAAAAAAATAAAAACCAAACCGGGAATTGCAGACGGATGAGGAGCCTACGGCACAGACACCGACCACTTCCTAAGGACGGGCTGGGAAAAACCTGGATTGGAGTTTGGCAACGAGATCAGAGTTTGGCAAATAATAATAATTAATAATAATAATAATGAATGAGCATTTGAATGATCGACCGGAGAGAAGGAGAAAACGAGGAGAGCCAAGGATCCCACGTGGGCTCGGAGTAAATGAATTATTGGGATTTTGTTAAATAAAGGTGGATTTTTAAGGATTTTGGGGGGGGAAATAAAAAGGGGCATTTGGGAGAGCCAGAGGCTCCGGGGTGTCCCGGCTCCATCCCCAGACAGGGAGGGAGGGCGAGGCAAAGGGAGGGAAGCTGGAACAGGAGCAATGTTTCCCTGGCCCTTTTATTCCCAGATTTCTATTTTTGGCACTGGCTTCACCACATCCCATAAAGAAAGGCCGGACAGATCTGGGCATGTGGTTAAATCCCAAAAAAAAAGGCTTTTGTGGAGCTGGGCTCCAGCTCCTTCTGCTCCCCCTTCCAGCACTTAAAAAGTTCTGAAAAGTCTTTTTTTTGTATTTTTTTTTCAAATTTTTTTAAAATAAATTTATTTGGCAAATGCACTAAACAAAGTACAAGCAACTACTGGGAATCTGCACTTCTATTTCTGCCATACAAAAACACCCACAGCATGAGCACGGATTTACTCGGACACGGAGAAAATTCTGGGGAAAAAAAAAAGGGGGAAAAAAAAAGAAAAAAAAAAGAAGAAAAGAAAAATTAAGGATTTTTTTTCCCAACAAAAACGAGTCACCCATGGAGACACCAGCACCTGCCAGCAGCTCCCACCCCAGCTCCCTGTGGGATCCCATGGGAGATGCTCCAAGCCTTGCTCCCAGCTCCCTGCCCTCTCTCCTGGTTCCTTTTCCCTCTTCCCAACCCCTTTTCCCTGCTCCTTGCCCCTTTTCCTGGCTCCTTTTCCCATCTCCCATCCCTTTTCTCCCATTCCTTTTCCCTTCTCCCTGACCCTTTTCCTTCTCCTGGCTCCTTTTCACTTTTCCCAGCTACTTTCCCTTCTCCTTTTCCCTTCTCCCAACCCCTTTTTCCCTTTTCCAAACCTCTTTTCCTGGCTCCTTTTCCCTTTCCCCAACCCCTTTTCCCAGCTCCTTTCCCCTTTTCCCCCAGCTCCTTGCCACTTTTCCTGCCTCCTTTTCCCCTTTGATTTCCCTTTTCCCATCCCGTTTCCTGGCTCCTTTTCCCTTTTCCCCTTTCCCCATTTCCCTTTTCCTTTCTCCCATCCCTTTTCCTGGCTCCTTTTCCCTTTTCCCCTCCCGTTTCCTGGCTCCTTTTCCCTCTTCCCCATTTCCCTTCTCCCTTTTCCCTTTCCCCTTTTCCCTTTTCCCTTCTCCCTTTCACCTTTTCCTGGCTCCTTTCCCCTTTTCCCCTTTTCCCTTCTCCCTTTCCCTTTCCCCTTTTCCCTTTTCCCTTCTCCCTTTCACCTTTTCCTGGCTCCTTTTCCCTTTTCCTTTCCCCTTTTCACTTTTCCCTTCTCCCTTTCACCTTTTCCTGGCTCCTTTCCCCTTTTCCCCTTTTCCCTTCTCCCTTTCCCTTTCCCCTTTTCCCTTTTCCCTTCTCCCGGCTCCTTTGACCCCGGCGTGGGGGAGGCAGAGCGACCCCAAAGCTTCTGACCCCGCATCCCTCGGGATTCACATCCCAGGGGATTCTCCCGGGATGGGACGGGGGGGTTGGAGCCCCTGAGGAGGAGGAGGAGGAGGAGGAGGGGGAGGAAGAATTCCCGGCTCCAGCCCCGGCTCCAAGGATAGCACCAAGCTCTGGTCTCGAACACAGAGGAAGAATCAGATCTGGAGTAGAAAAATAAGGCTGGAACTGTCCGAGAGATCAAGGACAGGAGGGAATTCCCTCCTGGAGAAGGAATCCCGGGCTGGACTCGGGAGCGGCCGCGCGATTCCCGGCGGGCGGGGCTTGGAGCGGGATGGGATTTGGGATTTGGGATTTGGGATTTGGGATTTGGGATCAAACTCTCCAGAAAAGGCTTTGCTGGGACAGAGGGACAGCCAGGGAAATTCCTGGGAAATGATCCCGTTTTCCCTGCTCTGCTCCCCCCCAGGGGATGGGGGGACATTCCCGAGCCCTGGAATTCCGGGACACAGCGGGAGCATTCCCAGGAAAAGCTGCACAGCTTTAGTGTCCAAAACTGAAAAGAAGGAGCAGCGACATCCCTGCAGCTCCTGGAATTCCATCCCCCTCTGGAAAGGGCTGGAGCAGCTCCCGGTGCCCAGCAGCACCAGTGTGGGCTGGGGGGTTTACTGGGAATCCAGGGAATTGCAAATCCTTTCCCATGGGAATTGCAAATCCTTTCCCATGGGAATTGCAAATCCTTTCCCATGGGAGTTGCTCTCTGTCCCCTGATGGGATCCCTGACATTCCTAAACCAATCCAAAGCTTCGGGGGGATTGGGGAAACTCCCAGGATTTCACACGAGGTGTGGCTGGGTTGGTTTTATCCCTTCTCTTCCCAAAAACCTGTGCTCGGGATAACTGGGAATGGCCTCTCCCTACGGAGGTCTTGGGAAATCTTTCCCATCCTCGTGGATTCTGGGATTCTGGGATTCTGGGAATGTCCCCCAGGAGCTGCTGAGCCCCAGGATGGGCCCTGGGACATGGATTGGGCTCGGACACTGCACCTGAATCCCGGGATCTGTCCCTTCCCCACAGATCCAGTGGCCACTCCACGGAATTCCCGGAGCTCTCCCGAGCACACAGGGGCTCCATGGAAGCATCTCCTGCTCCTCTTTTTCCTGTTTTCCTGCTCCCCTTTTCCTGCTCCCCCTTTTCCTGCTCCCCCTTTTCCAGATCCCCCTTTCCCTGCTCCCCTTTCCCTGCTCCCTTTTCCTTCTCCCTTTTTCCTGTTCCCCTCCCTGCTCCCTTCTCTCCCTGCTCCCCTTTCCCTGTTCCCCTTTCCCTGCTCCCTTTTCCTGCTCCCTTTTCCCTCTCCCTTTTCCCTGCTCCCCTTTCCCTGCTCCCCTCTCCCTGCTCCCCTTTCCCTGTTCCCCTTTCCCTGCTCCCTTTTCCTGCTCCCTTTTCCCTCTCCCTTTTCCCTGCTCCCCTTTCCCTGCTCTCCCCTCCGTGCTGGGTCATCCCTGTGAGATCCAGGCGCTCCCAGTTCAATCCCAGTCCCAGATTCCCACGGGATGGGAACACAACTGGTCCTTGCACTCCCCCTCCCCTGCCCTAAACTTCCCTGGGCATTTCCCAGGCCCTGGACTTAGTGGGAAGAATTCCAGTGTGGAAAAGGGAGATGGGAAACGCTGGGAATTTGCTGATTCGGGTTGAAACTCCCCCAAAAAAGTCGATTTTTCCAAGATTCTGGATGCACCAGGAAGCTCCTTCCCTTCCCTTCCCTTCCCTCCCTCCCTGAATTTGGGGACAGCACAGAGACCCCCAGAAATCCTGGCCTCCCCCATCCCTGGGGCTCCCTAAAATTCCTCCTGGGATCTCTCCCAGCTGGGAATTCCCCCACAGGGCCATCCCTGGATCCCAGCAGAGCCCTGGGATGCAGGGAAAAGCCTCCCCAGCCTCCCTCTGGCCATTCCCAACAGGGATTTTTCCAGCTGGATTTGGGGTTTTTTTGAGTTTTGGTTTTTTTTTTGTACTGATTTTCTACAAAATTATTCCCACCTCACCCCTTCTCCAGAGGAAATTCCTGCTGATTTGGCTCTGATTGGATCCAGGTCCAGCTCTCACATCCCACTGGGAATGACCCCCCCACCTCCTCCTCCACCACCCCTTTCCCAAATCCAAATATCCCAATTAAAAAATCCCCCCCTCCTTCCTTTCCTCCCTCAACCCTGGGTAAATTTTAAAATCCTGATTCCAATCCCTAATCCCACTTTCCTCCCCATGAAGCAGCCGCCCCTTCCCTAAAAACCCCCACTTCCAAATTTACGTTTTCAGGATGGTTTTGGGGTGTTTTTTGGGGGATTTTTTTCGGGCTTTTTTTTGTTTTTCTCGGGATTTTTAAGTTCTGTTTGAAGCCAGCGTTGAGTTTTTACCCCTGGGTGCAGGTGGAGGTGTGGAGGAGCCTGGATCCAGAGGCTGGATGGGGATTCCCTTCCCGAGGGATCCGCAGCTATAGGATGATGCAGGGTTTTTTGTCCTTAAAGGGATTCTCAGAAGCAGGAACTCCCACCAGCAGCGGGTCATTCCGAGCATGCTGCTCACAGTAATTCATCAGCTCCGAGGATGCTTTGGAGACCTGGATAAAAAAAAGCAGGAATTTGGGGGATAATCACAGGAATTTGGGGGATAATTGAAGGAATTTAAGGGATAATTGCACCTCAGAGTCACCAGCACTTCTGGGATTTTTGGGGTTTGACATCCCAGCTTTTCCCAACAGAAATTTGGGGAGATGAGGAGAAAAATGGGAATTGGAAAATCAGAGTTTACAGTGAGGAGTGTGGGGGATTTAAAAGGAATATTGTATCTGTGTTTTTCAGGGATTTGGGATGAGCTCTGCGGATGCTTTAAAGACCTGGATATTGGAGGAAAAAGCAGGAATTTACGGCAACATTCCCAGCTCACAGTCAGCAGTGAGGATTTTTGGGGGATTTACATCCAGCTTTTCCCTTAAGGATTTAGAAGGGATATTATTGTAGCTGTGTTTTTCAGGAATTTGGGATGAAAAAGTGAAGGAAAAGATTCCCTGAGTGCAGCCTCTGGTTAAGGTTTGGAAAACCTTGGGATCCATTGTTTAAGGCACTGCTTGGTTTGGTTCCAAGCTGTTTTTTGGAGGGATCAGAGGAGGCTCCAAATCCCCAGGGAGCTGCTGGAGGCTCCGGAGATTTCCAGATCCCATTTTTTCATTTCAATTTCCTTAATGACACAGGGCAGAGGTGGAGCCACATCTGGAGGTTCCTCTTTCCCTCCAAGCCTCATCCAGCCTGGCCTTGGGCACTTCCAGGGATCCAGAGCTGCTCTGTGCCAGGGAGAGAATTCCTTCTGTCCATCAACCCTAAAATTCCCCTTTTTCCATCCCAACCCATTTGTCCTTGTCAGCAAATCCTGATGGAGAGACCCTCTCTGGCTTCCTTGGAGGGAATCCTGGAACTCCCAGGATCTCTTCCCACTCCCATCTCAATCAGAAATCTTTTCCAGCCAGGTCTCACGAGCTCTTGGAGATCTATTTCACACCAAGACAGCTCAGCTACTTTAGAAGGCTTAAAATCAGCAGGACGGCTTCTGTGGCAGTGTTGGAAACAAAAAGGTTTCCATAAAAGGCAAAATAAATTCTTTATAGAGGAAAACTAATCCAGGTGCAAGAAGCCCTCTTGCCCCTAGCAAAACACCCCACAAAAGCCATTAGTCCCTTTGTTCTCTTCTTTTTCTAGTAAATTATCCAAGCCAGACTTTTCAACTCCTGTTAAAAGATGTCCAATTTGCCATCCTCAAGTTTGAGGTGAAGTCCCCCAAATGCTAGGACACACCTCATGAAGGAGAGAAACTTCTAAGCTCATCATCTCCTTTTTTCAGGGGACAAAGGACAGTTTTGTCACGCAGAGCACCCTCCCTCAGCCAGCCTCACCTTGATCCTCTCGATCCCGGCCTCGATGCGGAGCTGCTCCACCAGCTTGCGGGCCTGCGCTATGTTGTTAGTGGTGGACATTGTCTGCCATCAGCTCCGGGCAGCAGCGCGGAGTCCTGCAGGGAGCGGGACACACGGGTGAGGAGCTGCTCCAGCCCTCTGCTGCATCCCTCTGCTGCATCCCGGGGTCATGGAATCATGGAAGGGCTGGGAAGGGATCCCAGGGAGCGGGACACACAGGGTGAGGAGCTGCTCCATCCCTTTGCTCCATCCCTCTGCTCCATCCCAGGGTCATGGAAGGGCTGGGAAGGGATCCCAGAGAGCACAGACACACAGGGGCTGGAGCAGGGTGAGGAGCTGCCCCATCCCAGGGTCATGGAAGGGCTGGGAAGGGATCCCAGAGAGCACAGACACACAGGGGCTGGAGCAGGGTGAGGAGCTGCCCCATCCCAGGGTCATGGAAGGGCTGGGAAGGGATCCCAGAGAGCACAGACACACAGGGGCTGGAGCAGGGTGAGGAGCTGCCCCATCCCAGGGTCATGGAAGGGCTGGGAAGGGATCCCAGAGAGCACAGACACACAGGGGCTGGAGCAGGGTGAGGAGCTGCCCCATCCCAGGGTCATGGAAGGGCTGGGAAGGGACCTTGGAGCTCATCCCACCCCACACCTGTTGGGAACTCTCCGTGTGTGGAGACACGAGGCTTGACTCTATGTTTCAGAAGGCTGATGTATTATATGATGATATATATTATATTAAAATACCACATTAAAACTATACTAAAAGAACAGAGAGAAAAGAGCATCAGAAGGCTCGAAAGAATAGAATAGAATGGAATGGAATGGAATGGAATGGAATAGAATAGAATAGAATAGAATAGAATAGAATAGAATAGAATACATAACAAAATCCTGTGACTGCTCACAGCCTCGGCACAGGCTGTGATTGGTTATCAATTAAAAACAATCCACGTGGAGCAATGGAAGATTCACCTGGTGCATTCCACAGCAGCAGACAGTTTTTGTTTACATTCCTTTCCTGAGGCTTCCAGCTCCTCGGGAGGGGAAAATCTTAACAAAGGATTTTTCACAAAATATCAGAACTACACACAGGCACAGCCACCTCGGGACTGACCCCAAGGCCACGTGCAAAGGGAGCTCTGCTGGCCCCACTGGTGCTTCCTGAGGTTGTTTCAAGTTCCCCTTTCCCTGAAGGAGCCCTCAGGATCCCCTTTCCAGGGGGTTCTGTGAAAAACTCTGCTGAGAGAGCGGAAAAATCCGCCCGGTGCTGTGGGAGGGGAGCTGTGCCCCAGGACAGCCCCGGGCTGGGCACCCGGGGGGGCTCAGGGGCTCCTGGACCCCTCGGGACCAGCCCTGGGGGCTTTGGTGTCCCTGGCACCCGCGCAGGTGACACCTGCATGTGGGTCATGTCCAACCTGCACAGGGGGGTGTGTCCATGGGACCACATCCGACCTTCCCGTGGGATTTGTGTCCAATCTGCCCACGGGATTTGTGTCCAACCTGCCCACGGGATTTGTGTCCAACCTTCCCACATGTCCAACCTGCCCACGGGATTTGTGTCCAACCTGTCCATGGGATTTGTGTCCAACGTGCACATGGGGTTGTGTCCAACCTTCCATGGGACTTGTGTCCCACCTGTCCATGGGATTTAGGTCCCACCTTCCCATAGGATTTGTGTCCAACATTCCCACATGTCCCACCTGCCCATGGGATTTAGGTCCCACCTTCCCATGGGATTTGTGTCCAACCTTCCCATAGGATTTGTGTCCAACATTCCCACATGTCCCACCTGCCCATGGGATTTAGGTCCAACTTTCCCATAGGATTTGTGTCCAACCTGCCCATGGGATTTCTGTCCCACCTGCCCAAGGGGCCATGTCCCTGCACCCCCACAATGCCCTGACAGGACCTGAACCCCACTCCTCGCTTTCACAGCAGGAACTGAAGGATTTTTTCCAGCAGACCCAAACAATCCCCCCTGTCCCGGGGGCAGCTCCGGCCACACCAAATCCCTTGGCCAGACACCACCCGCAGCCTGTTCCCCTGGTGACAGCCCTGTGGAGGTGTCACAGCCGCCACCTCCCGCCCCGGGGGTGACTCAACCCCTGACTGCTCCTTCCCAGGGCACAGGGGGCAGCTCCCACCCCCCACCAGAGCCGGAGACGATTCCAGGAGCAGAAGGAGCCAAAGCAAACACGGCCTCGGATCCCGCCGGCGCTCGGGGCCCCGCCAGCCGCCCACTGCAGCCCTTCCATGGCTTAATTAGAGGCTCCTCCAACCTTCTCCCCGGGCCTGGCAGCTTCAAAGCCGGCGGGACCGGGGTGGGAGCGCCCGTCCCATCCCAAATCCGCGCTGTCTCGCCTATGTTTAGACATTTTGGGAGTTTATTCCAGACCACAAGGGCGCTCTCAGGGATTATTTTGCTTGGCAGCCACACCCCGGCGTGTTCCCAGCTCCTCAATCCCTGAGCAGCACCGGGAACGGTGCAGCCCCAGAATGTTCCCAGCTCCTCAATCCCCGAGCCCCAGCGTGTTCCTGCTCCTCAATCCCCGAGCAGCACTGGGAACGGTGCAGCCCCGGTGTGTTCCCAGCTCCTCAATCCCCGAGCAGCACTGGGATCGGTGCAGCCCCACGTTCCTGCTCCCCGCGGGAGGATTCCCTGAATTAGCGCGGTTGCTTGGGAATCTCCGCCTCTCCCGTCCTGGAAGTTAAGTCAAGGCAGCACGGGGAAGCTGCCAGGGTGAAATCAGGTCTGGTTCTGTGGAAAACGGGAGGAGGAAGGAGGCTGTTCCCTGGGGAAGGAGCTCCTCCAGAACAGCGCAGCTGCAGCTCCCAGCTGCATCCCAGTGAATCCCAGTTCCCCTCCTCCCAGCAGGGCCTTTTTCCCCTCCCAAGAGCACAGAAAAGCAGCAGCCGGTGTTGTTGTGATCTAAATCCCTCCCATTCCCGGGTTCTGCACTGGGATTAGGAGCAGGGAAAAGGTCTGTGCCAAAGTCCAGCTCCTCCTAAAGCCGTGCCATGACCCGAGAGCCCTTCCTGCTGCAGACACTGCCAGCACAGCTCACCTGGACAAGAGTTAGCAGGCAGCTGGGGGGAAAAATGCAAGGAATTTGTGTTTCCAAGTGTTTGCAGCAGCACAGGATCACCTGCCTGTACTTTCTCAGCTTCCTGTTTACGGAGCTGATGAATCAGCCCAGGGAGAGTTCAGAGAACTTCTGGGAGCTGTTCCCACCCCCATCCCTGTCCCTGCAGCATCCTGGGGATCCACAGCAGGGCACTGCTGGATCCACAGCAATGGATCCACAGCCAGGACAGTGCTGGATCCACAGCAATGGACCCACAGCCAGGACAGTGCTGGATCCACAGCAATGGATCCACAGCAGGGCACTGCTGGATCCACAGCAATGGATCCACAGCCAGGACAGTGCTGGATCCACAGCAATGGATCCACAGCCAGGACAGTGCTGGATCCACAGCAGGGCACTGCTGGATCCACAGCACTGCCCTGGTTTGGATCCAGCAGTGCCCAGGTTTTGGCACTGGTTTTGGATCCAGCACTGCCCTGGTTTGGATCCAGCTCTATGGTCCCTGTGCCCATTTTTTAAGGAAATCAGTGTTTGGGAAAGGCCTGGGCTGTGACGTCTGCAGCCAGGCCTGGGCAGGAAGCACAGGACAGTGGGGACACTGCACATCCTCCACGAGTGAAGAAACGACCCCACAGAGCCAGAACTCCTTCTGCCAGGGGGGCAAACCTCTGGAGCTTGGCCTGGTCCCACCTGCTGCTGCTGCTGGAGCGGGGCCAGCGCTGACTCTTCCCTTCCCTTCCCTGGCTCCGTGACTCAGCACCGGGCTCTGCTCTGCTGAGTAACCCCGGCCCTCCTCAGCACAAACAAATCCTCCTGAATTCTGCAGCTGCGCTTCCCGGCCGACCCCGGCAGCAGCGTCTGGGACAAGGGGATTTTCGGGAATGGCTCTGGTGGCGCTGCTCCTCACAGGGAGCCGGGAGCTCTTCCAGCAGGGATGGAGTCACCGCAGCTCCCGGGCTGCTCTCCCTGCTCCTCCCAGCCCAGGAACACTGACAGAAAGGTTTCCCAGCAGCACTAAAACCACGGGAAATCGATAGGAATTCAGGCAGGGAGGGATCACCGGCCCGAGGGCAAGGACACAGCAGGGAGGGAGGTTGGGAAATCCGGGATCCCGGAGTGCAGGTGAGAGGTTTGGGAATGATGCAAACACATCTCGGGAGGGTCTGGCTGGGGCACAAACCCCCCTAAAAGTGGCATTTACCCTGCCTGTTTTAGGGAGAGCACTGGGGTCAGGATAAACCCTGGAATGATGAGGATTTGGTGTTTCAAACCCGTCTGGATATCCCGGATTAAAGCAGGATGCTCAGAGCCACGTCTCAGCAGCTCGGTCTGACTCAGGAGCAGCCCCAACCCTCTCCAGGGCTCCATGCCCGAATTCCCAGGCTCACGCCGTCACACACCCCGTGTCTGGTGCTCACGCTGCCCCAGAGGCGGCGGGTGCCACCTCCCGGTGTCCCGCACAGCCCCGACGTCACGGCGGCACCGAGTGACGCCGGAGCGGCCCCTCCGCGCCCCGCTTTGTTCCCGAGCGCCCCCCGGGTGCCCACCAGGCTGCCAAAGTCCCGATTTGGGCTGTTTTGCCGAGAAAAAGCAGCGCAAAGCCGCGCAGCTCCTGAGTCAGCCGCGGCGGGTGACAGAGCGGTGACAGAGCGGTGACAGAGCGGTGACAGCAGCGCTGGCTCTGCCGAGCCGTGACTCAGCAGCGGCTCCGTGCTGGAGGAGACGCCTCCTCCTCTCCCATCACGGATCTGGGCTGGCTCCGAGCAGCCTCTGCCCTTTCATCCATTTATTTGTTGATTTATCCCTGGATTTATTCCCGGCGGGATGGAGGCGCGCATCCCCCAGCCCCATCCCTGCCTTTTCCCGGGGCTCAGCCAAACCCTTCCCCGCCTTTCCCAACCGAAACGCGGCCCCGGGATGGCGGTCACGAGGGTGAAACCGGCCGGGAAGCCGGGCCTGTCCCGGCCTGGCCCTGGCACGGCTCCCGGCCCGCGGTGCCACCTGCCCGCTGAC